AACGTTATTGAATAGAGGGGGCCGGGCCGGCCGCATAAAATCTCGAGCCACGGATTCAAAGTTAAACGTTACAAACAGCCCCTGCTTTTTGAAAAAAATTGAAAAGGGCACAATGTTTTGGATGTCTTTCAAATAGAAGCTATATACTAAACAGTCAAATTTTAAATTAACGGTAGGGCCGCTTTACAATTCTTATTTTGCCCTTCATTTGGATTCAGCTCATACCAACTCGCTTGTGCTTTTATTTGATCTAATGTAGGTAGTGATAATGGACAGCGGCGGCGATCCTGGGCCCGATAGAGAGACACGTCCCCCGGAAATTTAGATATATAGCTAGAAAGAAATATACATGTAGCGGAAAGAACGTACATATTGGACAAAAGGATTTTCTAGAATGCATATTTTCAGCATTCTACATTGCAAAATCTCGCTTGGTGTCTCCGCTCCGGCCCTCGCCCGATAACACAAAAAGGAGGGGGTATAGAAACTGAATTCAGACATATGATTAAGAATCGAGAACGGTACAACGAATCGTCTTCTTTCTCTAATAATTTAATGAAACGTCAAAGCTTCCGTGCTTCGCGCGGGAGAGGGAAGGGGGGGGGGGGGACTCAATTCAGACAAGGATTAAGAGTCGAGAACGGTACTGTTTCTCTAATGATTTAATGAAACGTCAAAGCTTCCGCGCTTCGCGTGGGAGGGGGTATGGAAACTGAATTCAGACAATGATTTACAACCGAGAACGGTACAACGAATCGTCTTCTTTCTCTAATAATTTAATGAAACGTTAAGCTTTTGCGCTTCACGCGGGAGAGGGGGGAACTCAATTCAGACAAGGATTAAGAGTCGAGAACGGTACTCTTCTTTAATGATTTAATGAAACGTCAAAGCTTCCGCGCGTCGCGCTGGAGGGGGGGGGGGGGGGACTCAATTCAGACAAGGATTAAGAGTCGAGAACGGTACTCTTTCTCTAATGATTTATTGAATCGTCAAAGCTTCCGCGCTTCGCGCGGGAGGGGGTATGGAAACTGAATTCAGACAATGATTTACAACCGAGAACGGTACAACGAATCGTCTTCTTTCTCTAATAATTTAATGAAATGTAAAAGCTTCCGCGCTTCGCGCGGGAGGGGATATGGAAACTGAATTCAGACAATGATTAACAACCGAGAACGGTACAACGAATCCTCTTCTTCCCCTTATAATTTCATGAACATTAAAGCTTCTGCGCTTCGCGCGTAAAGGGGGGGGGGGAGGGGACAGCGAGCTGCCTGAATATGAGTTTGTTATATCTTTTCTCGTATATTTTGGTGATAAATAACACTTTCACAAAATACATATTATCCTGAAATTTTTGCTCGCTCGCTTCGCTCACTAGCCGAATTGTGAAACCAGAAAATTACTTTTTCGGGCAAGAAGCTTCAGCCCCCCCCCCCCCCCCCCCGATGAAAATGTCAAAAAAATTACCGGTATGGTGCTTCTAATATGACCTTGTCAGTATTGGTATGTTGATTTGAAAAACTGTCTGCGCAATTTTCAAATTTCCGGCCCCCCCCCCCCCTATTGGAAAATCCTGGATCCGCGCCTGTGAAGGAGCCTACTTTAGGATATATTGTGTGCCAAATGCCCGTGTGAACTCCCCATCGGATAACAGCGAGTCAAAAATTTAGGATTTCCCTCGTTAATTACTTAATTTTTCATTTATTTCATATAGTATTTTTATTTCCTTCCTTTATATCGCCCACAAATCACCAAATATTAAAAAATGGGATTGGGGAGAAGGCACTTTCAAAAAACAAAATATATATATATATATATATATTATGTTTGATTATTTTTGTGTGTGACGGAGATCCCCATCTGGCAACCCTGATACCAGTACAGTATAAGCAAAATTGACTGTGAAAAAAAAATCCCTTTCATTATTATTAAGTCTTGCAGAGCTGGAGAAAGGGGAGGGGAGGGACCTGCGTAGCAATAATTTCATTTGGGGGATGGCGGTCTGATTACGATGCGAAGCGTGTGCCCTAGGGAAGAAATGTTTCCCCTTTTGCAGAGGCTCATTTTGTCGATATACATGATACATGTTTGCTGTTTGTATATAAACCGTGTTATTTTTCTTTGAAATGAGTTTAATTTAAATTAAACAAAACAACTATTAAAGTGTGGGTGTGATGCGCAAATATAGTTGGACGGGTTAGGCAACAGTTTTCCTTGCTTTTAATAATTAGACCATTTATTAATTTAATACATAGACAAATAACACTCGTAGACTAATTAAAATCCTGACCTATACATGATGCGTCATAAAAAAAAATTATAAAGCCAACTTGCGAGGGCTATATAGCAAAAGCGAATTGTTAAATCATCTCGATTTCGAAATTACTTCAACCGTCAGGAAAACAGAATTTCACGATCTTTCAAACAAATTGTGCTTGTTAAAATGAAAAGTTCATATCAATGGATGGAAACTGTAGATACTGTAAATACCGTCATGATATCATTTTTAATAAAAATTTCATTAAAAAAACAGCAACATTATTATAGGTCTATTTTGTTTATTGTGTACATGCATCGATATTTTATTTCTAATGTGGCCTTTTTGTTTTCAAAGTGACTTTGGGTGATAGTGTTTCGAAAAATGGATCGTGTCAAAATATCACCCTGACAGTAAACTTTTTGTATTACGATACCCTTCATGGCCCCGTCTCATAAACAGTTGCGATTAATCGCAAAGTATTTGCGACTGATATCAATCGCAACTGAGTACATAAGAGACAGGGGACTGCAAACTTACGATTAATTAGAGGACTTGCGATTGAATCGGACCAATCGCAACTCTTTATAAGACGGGGGCCTGGTCTGCGCAGTGAAGCTACAGGTATTATATCGACCACACCCTTTAAACCCCAGGTTTGACTGAAAAACATTTCAGTCAGTGATTCAAACAACTTTGACTATCGGTAACATAGTGTGTGTAATACAAATTAGGTTTAACTATAATAACGAATGTTAATAAATATCTTAAATTATTAAATATTTCGCAGTCAGACGTAATTATGTTCATTTTGTTATAGCTCATTATAGAACATTTATTTTGGGAGTGCCCAATCATTAGAAGGTTTATTGCGGATGTCCGACAATTCCTTTTAGAGGATAAAGTTACTTTGAATAACAAATTAATTTCTTATTTGGGTTTTATGGAAACGTTGGAGTTCAATTTTATTTTATTATTTTATATGCCAAATACTATTTTCCAACAAATGCAAAAATAGCGTACTCTCACTAAATTCTTTTTAAATGCATGTTAAGGTATTATCGTTCTCTTGAACAATACAATTATGTTAAAAATAACAAATTTGTATCATTTGATAATAGGTGGAAAAAAACATTGTGTTGCTTTACAAAAAATATTTAAAAATGTACCACCATGTCTTGTATAATCAGCTATATTCTTATTGTTGATTCTATTGGTTATATTATGTTTGTATAATCATATATGTTTTGTTATGTTTTGCAAAGTCGAAAGCAATATTGAATATAAATGATTTTATTAAAGAAAAAAGAAATAAGAACAAAATAACGAATATAATTTTGTTGGCTCACTTGCTTCGCCCCCTCGCAAAACTTAGAATCAAATATGCCTGTAGTACAGTACGTAATGCAAAGTGAATCTTCTGTGGTGAATTTGGGATTGGGGTGAACCGAAGCTTATTATAGGGGCGCCGTGGTAAAAACAAAAGGGGTGAAAAACAATGATAAAGTCCCCCCCCCCCCCGCCCTATAATTGAACCCGCGCAACGTGAGTTAAAAATACGACAACATACACTCTTCTACCGAAATTTCATAGTAACTTATAACTAATGGATAATATAATTTATGGCACCCAAAATTCTAAAGATAGCGATGACCAACTGCCAGCGTTTGTTTGCCGATTTTAAATCGACAAACAAACCACTTTTTTTTAAGCATTGCGTTAATTAGTGAAACGAGGATGTCCACTCACGAGAATTGTGCGTAAACATTGGATAACCAAAGCTATAACTTGCATGGCGCTCAGATTCCTATTCACAAATTTGACATAATTTGCACACCTTTTGCTGAATACATGAAACGACGACGGAAATCGTAGTCTTTTTCCTCCTTTTTAAATTTCGGGCATATTAACTTTAGGCCCTATATGTGAAAAATGAAAACTTCTATACTAGTGCAATATTTTGTCAGTTATGAAGAGTTGACTATGTTTATCTCGATTTGGTAATCTGTATTATGTTGTATTGTATTTATTAACATGTATTTCCTTCTCAACGGTACAATATGAAACACAATATATATATATATATATATATATATATATATATATATATAATATATACGTAACAATGATTTCAACATTTCATTGAGTATACAGTAAATAATTCAAATAACAGAAGGAGGCGAAAACCCGAAAAGTATAGCTTAAGTTGGGAACGCCCATAATAAGTTAACACAGTTACTGAGAGAAAATTTTAGATATTATTATGAAAATTACATATTGTATAACAGATCGTTGAAGAGAATTAAGTATAGGAACGCTTATTCACTTATAAAGAGAAAGTTAACTCAATTTCATATTCCGAGCACTCCTGCTGTCTTCGGCTGTGCATGTATCTACGATTACATCATAAAAACGACAAAGTACTATACAGTTTCAAAATATACAGCACGTACATGTTATCATTAACAAAAAGCAAAATAAACAAACAATCAGCAGCTTCATCCGACAACATTATCCTTGGGAATATACAGATGGTACCTAGCAACATCTGAGACGTGTACGTAAGTCTGGTAACGAACACCTTTCTGAATAGATTTTTTCTTCAAAAATTAAGGAGGAAAACAATTTTGGTTATATTAGCACAGATAAATTACATAAATTCTAAAAATAGCGATGACAACTGTCAGCATTCCCGAGGTACGTGATTTATGTAACGTGCAAGACCATTGGTTGAAATTTCATGCTTTCGTTAAGGGCGTTTTCATCGCGCAGCGTTAAGTATTTAAATCGGTAGTATACTGATCGACGCGTCACTTGTGTTAGCAGCATCGTATTAAAACAACTACATTTGTTCCCGCACGTCTTCTCGTTCTTACGACTGTCATTTGATATCAACAATTTGTCGGTAAGAAATGTACTTTCTTCGTATTACAATAGGCAAGCCTGGATGAGAGTAAACGCACGAATAACTACGTGAAATTTGAGAAATGATGTATTTCAAAAAGCCTTTGTCCTCAATAAAAAAAGAGGAAAGTATCATTGCCATGAGGCAATGACTTTGTTTTCGAAAAAAAGAAACAGAGAAAAAAATGTAGAAATAAAGTCGGAGGAAGAGGGAAATAGATTAAATGCAATGAGAGATGGATATACATGTATATTATTATTATATAAACATATATACATGTTGTTATAAATGTTTAATTATATTATATATACATATATGCATGTATGCGAGCAAAAGATGACGCATGGTATTTCTGTTCAAGCTTTCGTCCTTCATCGGACTTCATTAAAAATTATTTTAAGCTGTTACAGACAGATCGTGTACTTGGCACTTTTATTTCATGATTAATCAGGTTCTGTTTACAACAAAAAAAGAAGTGTACAAGTTAACCTATAACTATTTATATATTTATATATAGGGTGTTTCTCACGCATTTTCATTTGTTATAATGCCGTAGTACAAACATTTTTGTGGTAAACAATTACCTTGTCGTTTCAAAAATCGTAATTCCAAAGGTTTAATAAACAATACAAAATACTCAATCTACACACCTCAAGTTTAATAATCGACGTCTCCGGTATTAAAGAATTATGTGGAGGTGTTGTGGTCGAGTGGATACGTCGCCAGATAAGGTCACAAGGTCCGTGGTTCGAGTCCCGCCGCGGCACTCATGTGCCTTGGCAAGACATTGATCTACGTTTGCAACACTCAACCCAGGTGATGTAAATGGGTACCTGGCAGGAATTAATTCCTTGAAATGATGGAGCGCTGTAATGGCAGCTAGGCTAAAGCCGGGGTTATAATAAATGCGCCTCGGAATAGAATTTCTAGATAGACGGCGCTATAAATGCCTGCTATCATTATTAGTAATATGAAAAGCTGACTTTGCTTTTGTTAAAAACCCTACTGTTACCTTAATAATAGTAATTTGTTACCTTGTAGCGAGAAACCTATTGCTTAAAGGCCCACTGCACTAATCGTAGCTACTTGCGCCCTCTTACAACAAACAATGCCTAATCGGTGACCATTGGTCCCCCATGATCCTCTTTTTCTTATGTTAACTGAGAGCTGAGTTGATGAGATAACCACCTGTCCAGTGACCTTGCAGGGCGCTCTAATCCCTCCTGTAAACTATGGCAGATAAGCTTTAAGTGGAATGTGAAAAATTTCTCTTCATTGCAATATTATATTTACAATCTAAATCCTTTCCTTTTTGTCTTTCAGCTATGAAGTCCTTCATCATCGGAGTATGTCTTCTCGCCTGCCTTTCTTTTGAAATTGGTAAGTTATCGTAAATTAATAATATATAATATATGATATATACATGTATGTATATAATGTGTATATAGGCCTACTGTGGTTTTAATGACTGTATGATAAATATAATAATTGTTGTGGTTATTTTTCTCTTTATCTCTTCCTTTCTCTCTACCCCTTTCTATTACCCTCATCCGCTCTCTTGTTACCTTTTCCCTATAGCTTCTTTGGTTATATTCAGTTTCTCTTTCTTTCTCTTTTTACCCTTCCATTGGTCTCCCTTTCCCCCTCTCCATTCTCTTGTTTTTTTTTATATCCTTTCAATTTTCCCTTTTCCACTCGATATTTGTCTCCCCTCTTCGTATTCTCTCTTTCTTTGATCTTTACTAAACACTATTGTGTATCTAATGCGTTGTTGCGTTAGTATCGCTTTTGCGCTAAGTGCACTGCATTGAGTTACTATGTTGGATGATTATCATTACAAAAAGAGAAAGGAAATCGTGATGAAGCCGTGCGGTTGAAAATTCGAAGTTTCAGACGTTTCACGGAATCATTTATTTATATCCAGCTTATAAAAACATTTATCAATCAGTGATAAAGATCACTTTTCATCCTTTTAACAATGGTAGTAGAAAAAAGAAAAAGGATATCCTTCACAGCAAATAATAAAATTGATCGATAAATTCGACATATTCCTTTGTACTCAGTGTACATCAGAACAGTAATTTAAAAAGTACCATCCACTTAACATAATTGTGTGGAGCTCGAATGAATTACATCGACCTTCACTTGCTGTGAAAAGTTATTACTTAGCACTAAGTTAAAACTATTCTGGCAATCAATGATGTAGGCCTTATCGTCATCAAGGCCGCTATATATAGGGACTCATTTCTAAAGATTTTACGATTGAGAAATTAATTATAGATCTACACCTCTAAAACGCTTTAATAATATCAGCTTAAGAATTGCTGTGATGTTCATACATGTAGTTCTCAGGTAAGAATTACTGCAATAAAAGAAGTAACATAATAAAGCTGATATTATAAGATGGTGTATAAGATGGTGTATTATAAGAGATGTAGGCCTATATAGTCTAGATGTATAATAAATTCCCAGCCGTAAAATATTAAGAAATGAGTCCCTATATAGTCCCTTATGTGTGGAGGGGGGAGTGTGTGTGCGTGCGTAATGATGTATTCTCTTTTGTGATTCTACTGACAGGATGTTTATTAGATTTATTAAAAGGAAGTATATAGATCAATAATTTGATTCCAATTTTCTTTTCTTTTTTATTGTTTGTGCATAACCAACATTGTAATATTCAATTTAAGAATTAAGGATTGCTTAGACTTGCACGGTAAACAGGAAAAGAAAACCACCGCGTTTAAAAAAACGAACATGTAAATGAATGGCACCTGCGTACAAACAAAACTCCTATTTAGAGAGCTCTATGTTATATGAGATACATAAAAGTAAAGCGCATGACACTTATGTCATCATTTGAAGGAGAACAAATGATTATTAAAAAAAAAAATCCGCCGCGATTTACCTCTTCATATAATCTGAAGACAAATTATGCATCTATACAAAATGTATACCGAATACTTGTTGCTTAAGTATTCATTGTTTGTTCTTGTTGTATGTTTTCTTCCAATCAGGCCATTCCCTCGAGTGCTACTCTTGTGGCTCTTTTAAATACCAAACTATCGACCTTGGCACTTGTGGAGCCGATACCCTTGCGAAAATAACTTGTGAAACCAATAAAACCAGATGTGCAAAGGTAGAGTTTGCAGGTAAATCGACGTAAAAGAATTTTCACAGAAAAACACTGGGGGGTGTTTCACAAAGATTTTAAGACACACTTAGCTCTAAGTTGGACTTAAATATCATAGTGAGGCATTTGTAGCCTTATAATGAAATATGTTCAAATTCAAGTACTTTAGACTTTTTATAAATTCCACATCAAGAACATGAAATCTCCTCGATAATAGAAATCATGAATGATTTGAATCAAAATATTTCCATAATTCTTAAGTCCAACTTAGAGATAAGTTCAACTTAGGATCTTTGTGAAACACCCCCTGGTCTCCTAACTCTTTCTCACCTCCCACTATAAATCGTGAAAATATGATTTATTCTTAATAGAAAAAGTGTTTATCTTCTCAGAACTTTGTTGATCAATGTAAAGAGTCATTGAGGGATCCGATGATGTGGATACTGTACTTTGCCCCTTGGGGTACATATTATGTTTCGAGACCACCTTGGGCAATGGTTTTAACCGTGTCCCTAAAACTGTAAATTGTATGATATTAAACTGTGGAGCATTAAACATTTTTAAAATACAATATTATCCATAACGACGGGGTTAATCATACGCTGGAAAGCGTTTTTCTTCTGTTGATTTTGCCTGCCGGAAAGGTTTAAAACCTTATATTATCGTAATACCATAATACCGTCATTATCCGTCGCTATAATCCTTTTTACATTTTCAATCATCAGTATCATGACCTCAATAATATAATTGTCATCATTTTTAATAACTATTTTTATTATCAGCAATAGTATTATCCTTAATGTTCATATAAATATTAGTAAAGCCACTACTTCTCTTACAACTACTTTCCTCATTGTAATTATCTTAATTCATTTTGATGTTATTATTATAATCATTAAAATTATTATCATCATTATTACTTTTACTACTAATACCATTATTTTTTGTATCATTATTAGTTATTGCATATCATCAACGTTGCTGCAAAATATAATTGTCACAATGTTTGTATTTCTGTTACTATTATCGCTAAAAGTATTATCAACAAAGATATTACATGTAATATAAATGTTGTTATTATTACTACTACAACTACTGCTATTGCTACTGCTATTATTACTTCAACTACTACTACTAGTACTATTGCTACTTATACTACTTCTACTACTACTACTACTACTACTACTACTACCAATACTGCTATTACTCATACTTGTATTACTTTAATTATTATTATTGACATCATTATCATTATTACTATTATTGTTATTTATACGGATATCATGATCATTACCATTATATTACAATCTTCTTCCCAATCCCTTAAATGTAGGCAATTTGGCTGGGGACCTGAGTTCTGAGACCTTTACGTTCACCCTTCGAGGTTGTACGGACGTTGAGGCCACCTCCAGCATGGATGGATGTTCCGAAGAGTCCGCCAAAGCCGATGAAATTGTGGATGATGTTGGTGTGGTAGGTTACAGCGAAGCTAGTTACTTGGCCTTCAAGTCGGCCATTGGAACCACGCCCACGTATTCCAGCGTGGCTGCCTGCACCTGTACTGATGAGCTCTGTAATAGTGCAGGGGGCCTTCAGGCGAGCTTTGTAGTTATCTGTGTGTCTCTTGTAATGGCGGTCTTCGCTAAAATCATCTAAACTCCCACCAAATCATCAGATTTCTGGCTGAATGAGCTTAAATAAAGTACGATCACCGCTGTATTCATGCAGACGAGTGGACATCCACCCTTTGGTTCCTAATATCACTCCCAAATCTGTAATATTATGACAAATTTTAAGGGTTTTTTTTATTTTAAGTTTTTAAAGTTTTTTTCCATTCCAAAGCTAGCTTGGTCCTCAAACTATCTTACCAATTAAGCAAAAGAAACTTTGATTTGACTTATTCCTGTCAAACCCAATTTATTCAAAAGCACTAAAGCGCTTTCTGATATGATTTTTGCAAAGTTTCCCCTTTTAATCACCAAACACTCCAATTTTATACCAATTTTATTGTTATATGCTTTTTGGGGGCCTATTTTTATGCTTGCTTTGCCCAAATTGTTTCGTTATTCTTCTCATTATTTTCTACAGTCAACAAAATATTAAATGTTAAAGTTTATTTCTTTATTTTATCCATTATTTTAAACATGATATATCAGGTTTCGGACAACATTAATGTATTATCTTTTATATCTATATGGTTTATATCAATAAAACCCGAAATCTTGCCGTAATGCTCCCCAGAACAAAGGAGGATATTCGCCAGAACAGTGTAGAACGCGCACTATATATAGTGTAGGAAATAGAGATTGAATCCAATTAAAGAGATAATATCCTCCTTGATGCAATCATATGGGTAACAATGATTACATGTAAAGAGGTTAGAAAGTGTAGTAATAAGCACTATAGTAATGCGATCATCATTATTATTTTCATTATATGATTTTGTACTGTTTCGATATGTTCTTAATGTGTTAAAGTGTTAAATAATTTGTAAGTGTTAAATCAGTACGATTGTTCTCCATGAGAAATTTAAGTTATTATTGACATGCACGGACATAATTCTATAGAGTGACCTTTTGACAAAGCACAAATATTTGATTTTATATGTGCGGCTATATGAAGGACAGAATCTTATCTGGACTTAAGATATTATGTTTGGACGTCGCGCAATAAATTGCTTAAATGAGTAAAGTGTGAATTGCAGTGACAGTAAACAAATGTTCAAGTCATGTAAAGTAGACATTCCCGTAAAACTGTAGCTAAGTGTAGTGTATTATGTCTTTAAAATACTTGTCTTTCGTATTTTATGACTATAAACTTTTGACTGGCTGAATCGTATACTAATTAATTTTGTATGAATTTTTCCCCGAATTTTATTGAATAAAAAGGAAAACCCTACACATTAAAATGATAATAGTCAAATCTGTTGTTATTCCTTCTCCAAATCCACCTCAGGCAAATAGTGAATTTCAAAATGAAAACATAACTGTTTTTACTGTACCAATACAAAAATCCACCTCAGGCAAATCCTTCACCTTTTGAAATGTGCGAAAATTTGCCAAGACGTATTAGGTAATCCGAACATGATATCAATGTGATATACACTGTCGCTCATATAGTTGGAATATTTTTTTTACCCCGATTTATGGAATTATTTTGACAATGATTTATTACTAATAGATCTAGATAATAGTATACATTCTCAGATTTTATTGAATAATAATTTGCCAGTGTTTAAGAAGACGGTTCCATGTAACTTAGCATTTGCTATTTCTCTTGTGCATACACAAAATGCTATCGAGTTTATATTAGCTAAAATTAATGTGTGTTTAAAACGGGCAGGGCATGGCAAAAAAATTGTCACGACGACCGGGTAAACATTATTTACTTGATCAGTCCATGTCACTAAGGTTACAGCAAACTTACATTGGTAGGGCATACAAAAACGTGAATCACCTTCACATTATATGCATACAAATTACAAGAACAGACTCGTGCATGTTTCATTGCAAACCCAATCACATACACACACAAAATAACATTGAAATATCCAGCACTTGCATGAGCAGGCCTAAAATATGAGGAGTTTCAGATGAGACACGCGAAGAGTATAATGAGAATTATGAAATAGTAATAGTGAATATATAATAATAATAATAAAGAGCATTATAATAATTATGATAATAATAGGAACAGTCCCTTCTGATTAATTTGGATTAACCCTGAAGTTCAGGCATTATGAAGAGTTAATCAAGAGGAGACAAAGAAGACGAAAGATTCGATTGCGTCAACTCTGTTTGTTGCTACGGCATATGCAAGCATTACTTTAAACAAAGCAAACTTTGTTATTCCTGGCTCATTTTTCCTGATTGAGGTGTCATATAAAAGGGCAGAAAATGAACTGTTTAGAAATGTGTTTTTTCTGTTCTGAAATTCAGACACTACCCGCCATTTTTTTTCTTCCCCTCTTTAAATTGTTTTTCATCACTCATGCGTGATATGAAAATGCATCATATGAGTTGCATCAAACTAAAGGGGAGGATCTAAACTTTACAAATATGTGTCATTTATCAATTTTGATTATGATTAAGTTATGATAAAACATCGTTCTCGGTTTCGTTTTTCATGGGACGCACTGTATATATATTTGGTCAGGTGGTGCCAGGGCTGTAAAGTAAATTCATTTAAGAAAACTAAACAAAATGTTTCAGAATTCCTAAATTAAAAGGCTTTTTTTTTTAGTCTTCTTTTTTTTTTTTTTTTTTTTAGCTCTGTACTCTTCAATTGCATTACTTTTTTCTCATATATTAATCATAAATAATGATAATCATCAGATGATTATCACACCTTATGGAAAATAGATTTGGTCCGTTTCTTAGTCTATTGCAACAGCGTTGGGAACGTCGATACCTGTTGGTATGGATTAAGGGTGGAAAATAAAATTGTTACTGAACAAAATGAATAAATGGAATGGTAATATACGAATTATGGCTAACAGGAACGAGTAATAATAGTGAGATGGACCTACTATTCCTATTTCTAATATATCCTATGTTTCCTCATTATACAATATCTAAGAAGACTAGACTAATTTCAAACAATATCTCCCCAAAAGAAATTCCATTCATTCCTGGATGAGCACTTCAAATTGGCAACTAGGCCTGGTTGCTGCAGAAAAAGTTATGTAATTAGATATACGTCATCATTAAGGTATACCACTTTTAATACAAAATTTGGCTAATTCTAGAAACATTAAAAAGTGTACATTGATGGTTGTAAAAGAGCAAAATATCTATACAATTCTAATAAAATATTCTGAAACTAATAATACATGCTTTTAAGGAGTATTTATTTTTAAAGGGGTCCGACATTCAAAATATGTATCGATATTAGAAAACATAAATACGACATTCACATCGAATTGGCAATATTTATAAAATACGTCTCAATGGTATTGAGAAACTTC